TTTCCAAGTTCAAGCAACCCATAAAATGCACTTCTCTAAGCCAGTTGCTGTGGCCCATGGCTATAATCTCAGCAACTCCAAAGGTAAGGTAGGAAGATCACAAATTTGAGGACGGCCTGGGCAATTAAGTGAAACTCTGTCTCAAAAAGTAAAAAGGACTGGGGGTGTAGCTCAGTGGTAAAGTGCCCACGTTCAATCCCTGTTATCCCCCCCCCCAAAAAAAAAACACTTATCTGGCAATGAAGTTTAATTGATTCTATCAAATAAATCAGTGGGGCATCTCAATGGAGTCTCTAAAATTGAAGTACAATTTTTAAAGATTAAACTATGTACTTCATACATATGTAAAATGAACATGTGTAACATATTTTATTTAACTTTATATTATGGAAACCATAAGATATTACAACTGATTCAAAAGGGAATTCAAAGAACACACACACAGGTAGTCAGGAATGCTGAAATAAAGTTGCTAATAGATGCAAAACTGTTTGATACCCATGGTGTATTCAATTATATTCATCAGACAGTGTTCATTTGCATATTTCTTTGGCTAAACATTTAGTTCACTGTCATAGCTCAAGCTGCTGTAATAAAATACCATAAACTGGGTAATTTGAACAGCATATATTTATTTATTTCTCACAGTTTGTAGCATGGAAATTTGTAAATCAAGATGGCAATACAGTGGGTTCTGGTGAGGGTTCTCCTCCAGAGGTCAGATGCAGACAGCTGACTTCTCCTTATATCTTCATGTAGTAGAAAAAGAGCTAGCTAATTTTCTGGCCTCTTCTTCTAAGAGCTTTAATTCCATTTATGACGGTTCCACTCATGACCTTATTACCTCCCAAAGGCCCTACCATCACATTGGGATTAGGTTCTCAGCATATGAATTAGGAGGAGGGGGGTACATTTAGTCCATTACATTTACATCAGTTTTCTACAGATAATTGCTATAAAATAGCTCAAAGACAAACCCAGCAATGTTTTTTGTTTGTTTCAAAGTCTTTACAACTTTTCTGACACTGATATTTGTCTTTACCAGAGTTGAAAAAAAAAAAAAGACCTTGCTCCTTCATCTATTTGTTTTTCTTCTTCTCATCTGATGCCAGGTTTCAGAATACCAAAATATTCTTCCTGCTTCAATAAGCAGACAAAAATTTAAGAACAATGGTGATCCTCAGTCTGTCTGTATCACTACATCTGATAAATGCTTTCCCTATGCCACAGGAAAATGAACCACTCCTTCCTGTTCTAAAAGATCTAAAAAGAGAATTTTTGAAAACAATAATTTTTTTTCAAGAAAAATTATATACTCCTCCCATTCATTTAGTAAGCATCTGCTTTTCAAACTCTGTGTCATAACCTAAGGCCCTGCTGGAATAACCTTTACCTGTCTCAGCAGCTACAGCTTATGCCTCTGACCTACTCATTCACTGCTTCCAGTTGGCTTTTCAGTTCTAGACACACTTTTTACTGTTTTAGAAGCCTTCATATATTATTTCCCTTACTCTAGATTTCTCTTTTGTCTACACATCACATGCCTGAATCCTTCTTATCCTTCAAGAATAGATAATATATTACCATCTCTTCTAAAATGGACTTTCCTTGTTCTCCACCCCACCCCTTATTCATTATGCTAGCACCTGCTTATATTTTTCATAACATGTAAAAAATGGCAGTTATTTTATTTGTTGTTCTACCTGATATTGTCTGTTTGCACCTAGTAAAATAGAATGACCTTTTTGTAGCAGGGATTGTGTCTGTCTTGTTTACTCTTAAATCCTCAGCATAGAATTCCTGATATTCAAAAAGCACTAAAATATGTTTGTTGAACTAATGAATGAGTGAAAGGTATGTGATATTCACTAGGGATACATTGATTTTATATATATATATATATATATATATATATATATATATATATATATAAACAATCATTCACACACACACACACACATAGAAAGGGTCCCTGGGCTCACAAACTTTGTAGTCCAATAAGGAACTATAAGCAAGAGCAGTAGAACTTACATGCACGATGTCAGAAGGGCATAGTGCTGTAAGAGCACATGAGAAATACCCAGAGATTTTTGTACCTGCTATGATAAAACAGAATATTTAGATCAAGTTCATCTATAAAAGCTGTAGAAAACTTTTTAAAGAAGAATAAAAGAAAAGGCAGTGTCTGAAGAGAACAACTAAGATAGCAAGAATTCAAGACACCAAGATCTCAGAGAAAAATGAACCACTGAGAAATCAAACTGGAATTCTTTCACCTTATTTGTTTATTCATCTATTTATTTATTTACACTGGGGTTTGAACCTAGGGGTGCTTTACCACTGAGCTACATTACCAGCCCTTTTTATTTTTATTTTTTAATTTAATCACTAAATTGCTTAGGGCTTCAAACTTGGAATCCACCTGTCTTAGGTTCCTGAATCTCTGGGATTACAGGTGTGTGCCATTGTACCTGGTCACCATATTTTCCCTCAAAGAATTTACTAATTTCCTAACCAAAGTGAGGTGGGAGGGAGGTAATGAAACAAGAAGCCAAGCATAAAAGAGTAGCTAAGAAGCTAATGAAATAAGTAGATTTTTTTTTATCAGCCTAGGAGTTCAGAACCTGCCACAAACTTTGAGACTTAAATCAGTTTAAACCCTTGAAGGGTTTTGCTCTAGAAATAAGGACATATCAGAAATAAACTAGCCTTCACAGGGACAGAAATCTACCATCAAATTATCTCAGTCCCTAATAAGATCAGTATAATTGGAGTTTACCTTAACTAACTGCCAGGATAAGTTTTGAAGAAATGTATTATGATCCAGAGCCTCTTCAGATTTTTTATACGTAATATTTGGGCTTTAGTTTTTTTAATTACCAGACATTACCAGAGAAAGAACAAAATGTCTACAAATTAAGGGAAGAAAAAAATTTCTAGAATAGCCCTAAAAATGATCCCAGTATTTATATTGTCTCACATGGACTTTAAATAAGTGTTGTATATTTACAAAAAATAACAATTTTTTATTTGGTTCTTATACATAGATTTCACTAGAAAACAAATCTGAGAAGAACCAAATGAAATTTTTATTAAAAGAATAGAAAATATGGAAAAGTACATAAAAGACATATGGGGATATGGTAAAAAGGTCTAACATGTATAATTGAAGTTCAAGGAGTGGGGAAAGAAAGAGTCATATTTAAGAGATATTAGTAGTTTTCCAAAGATGATAAAAAGACAGTAAGCCAGAGTTTCAGGGATCTCTTCTAATCTCAAACAGGATAAATGCAAAGAAACTACACCTAGGTAATCATGGAAAAATTAATGAAAACCAACAACATAGAATGTTCCAGTAGAACCTATTGTGTTCAGAAGAACAAGAAAATAACAAATGATTTAAGCATAAATGATAGAACCCACAAAATAATGAACTGGCATTCTAAATTTCAGGAAACTGCCAATATGGAATTGTATATCCAGCAAAACATTATCTTCCAAAATGAAGATGAAATAAAAAAATTTTCAAACAAAAATTGTTCAGATCTGCACTAGAATTTTTTAGGGAAAAGGATTCAGAATCTTGGAAATGCAAAAAGGATTAAGAAGCAAAATGTCTTGTGATATTTAAAATATATATAAATATATACGTAGAATATATATTGTCTGTATGTGTAGGAAATTATATAGAGTTAAAATATATAGACTTAAAATATATAAAAACACACATACATAGCTTGTAAAACATAAAAAATTTTGGCAAGTTGGTAGATACTCTAATCTACTGAGAAGAAATTCAGTTATAGATCTAGAGGTTGCATTAATTAAGAGAAATTTTAAGGACTGTAATTTTTTTTTCTTTACAAAGCCAACTGCAGGGCAATGAGTGTTACCTTTCATTCCAAAGATCAGGTTTTATCAGATCACTCTGGGTTGTCATAACCACAGGGTAGTGTAGGTTTTTGTTAGCAGAATATCTGTTTCACAGTTTGCTTCTGTTTTTCATTTTAATTGACTTATTTAGATTTGGTAATCTGTGAGCAAATGTCCAAGTCTCTCTTCAAGGAAAGTATATTGTTTTAAGTCCATTAAGAAGAATAGAGGAGGGTTGGGGTTGTGGCTCAGCAGTGGAGCGCTTGCCTGGCACGTGCGAGGCCCTGGGTTCGTTCAATCCTCAGTACCAGGAAAAATAAATAAAATAAAGGTATTGTGTCCGACTACAACTAAATATATATATATATATATATATATAAAGAATAATAGAGGGGCTGGGGATATAACTCAGTTGGTAGAGTGTTTGCCTTGCATGCACAAGACCCTTGGTTCAATCCCCAGCACCATAAATAAATAAAAATTTAAAAAAGAAGAATAGGGTAGGACACATAGATGTGGCTTCTCTTCCTAGGTATAACTTCATAAGATATATTTGTTAACATTCTTTCTCGGGCATAAAATTCTGTCTGAAATGAGACAATAATCTATCAAGTAAAGATATTATACTATTTTGCTATTTAGCTATTTTACTTATTATCTAGCTTCCTCTACCAGAATGTACTTTTTTGAGAGAGAGAGAGAGAGAGAGAATATGAATCTTTTTTTTTTTTTGTAGATGGACACAACACAATGCCTTTTTATTTTTATGTGGTGCTAAGAATTGAACCTGGGTCCTGCCCATCCTAGGCGAGCGCTCTACCACTGAGCCATAATTCCAGCCCCTAGAATGTACTTTCTATGAAGGTAGAGACATTTTCTCTTTTGTTCAAAGCTATATCCTCATGCACCTATATTGGTACCAACATTTACCAGACACTCAACAAGTATGTATTGAATGAATGAATGAACAAATAAGGAATAAAGTCATATTTTTAAGTAAATCATCTTCATTAAAATAAAAAGATGTTTCTTTACAATCTTATAAATTCATTTTATCTTCATTAAAGTGTTGAAAATCTGATATTAAAATGTTTGAAAGTAAAGTGATTGTTTTTTGATGTTTGCAGGACTATCTCAAGCAGGTGCTGGACATTGATCTTCATGCTCAGATCCATTTTGGCAGGGTTTTTATGAAACCAGGGTATGAAAATAATCTTATCTCTTGGGTTGGTTGGGATTACTCTAACTGATCAAGTTTTAATTGCATTCTTTTTACATTTTCTGTTTTAAGTTAACTGTGCTAATAAAAGAAATAAGTGCAACTCCTATTTCAAATAAGTATTCATCTTCCTTATGAATCAGTGAATTTGGTATAAACAAAGCAAAGCAGGTTTTCCTTTTTAATTCCCATGACCAGTTTATTTTTCCTCTTTTTCTTTCTCCCCAAACTACTTTATCCTCTTTTTTTTAAACAGTCTAGTATGAAACTTCTCAAATGCACATAAAAGAAGAAAGTACAATGAACCCCTCGGGGCCATGTACCCATCACCCAGCTTCAGTACCTATCAATGTTTGTCTATAATTGTTTTATTAATCCCCCCTACCCTGCCTCTTTTTTGGAGGGTGGGAGAGGGCTGGTAGATATCATGTCATTTTGGTATACATCTCAAATAATAATAACCATAGCATTCTCTTAGATAAACATAATATTTTAATAGCATCTAATATGCTTATCATATTCAAATCCCTCCCACATGTCAAGAAAAAGAATGCCTTTTTATAATTGTTCCATTTGAATCAGGGTTCAAGTAAGTTCCACTCCTTGTATTTAGTTAAGTCTCTATTAAATGAGAATATTTACTCCTCTTTGACATTTTTCTCCCTTTTGGTTATGCCACTGAATTGTTAGAGAAACTGAATCACTTGTCCTGAGAATGGATTTGGCTAATTATATCCATGGGTTGAGTTTAAAATGTTCCTGTTTTCCCATATATTCTATAGATTGAAAGTTAGATCTAAAGATTTAATTAGATTTAGATCTAATTTCTTTATTCTTCACAAGAATACTTCATAAGTGGGATTTCACATTGTTTTGGGGAGGAAAAAAAGTAACCACATACCAATATTTTCATATTTACTAAAATCTAATAATAATCTAAGGAAGGGCAGGTGGAGGGAAGTTCTGTAGTTAATTGTAAGTCTTCAAAGAATGCCAAACATTGGTATTAGTGAAACATGAATAGCCATGTCTTCAAGCGTAGTCTGCCTGCTCAGAGCCCTGCTACTCAATGAACCTTTGATTCCCTCTTCAAAGACTTTGGCATATGGGTGAGCATTTCAGCACACCTCTGTGTTGTAAAGTGCAACAGTAATGATGCATTAGTTTAGAATGATATGTTGTCAAATGCTCTAAGAGAATGGAGTAGTGGCTTCCCAGTTGTTTTCAGGGAGCTATGGGAAGCATCAATACATTCCCAAAGCCTTTTGAGTGTCAAGCCAGCCCTTCTAATATGCCCGATTTATTAGTACCTGGTTTCAATTCTAGGACAGAGATTAGGCTTTACCTCCATGATTTGGTCATTTTATATAAAGTTAAGATTATCACTAAAGCTTTTTCCACAGTTTGATAGAATTTATCATCTTAGTAGTATATTTCTGTATTGAATGTGCCCCAATGTGGCTATTGCTGACAGGGCCATTTTTTGTCCAAACTGTGGGATTTGTATCATTCTTATTAAGGATAATATTTTGTCATAAGCAAATATTGTTATGCTAGGTTTAGATAGTATTCCTTTAGATGGTATTAATTTGATTAGAAGAAAGAACACATCCCAAAAGCACATCAATGAACTTTCCATTAATCTCAAAAACTGAATTAATTTTTCCTTTCATGGCAGGAAGGAAGTTGACATAACTTGCCCTTATCTCGAGAGAATTATTTGCATAATATCTGTTATTTAAAATGCAACACCTATGGTGATAATTTTCACGCTTTTTTTCAGTTTGTATTTACTACTTGCTTCTTCAGTTCCTAATGTTTATTCTCTCTAAACTCATTACAAATACTTTGGGACCTCAGTCATTGTATAGATGTTGTTACACTCTGATTTCAAGAGATCAAAACGAACAATAAGTGTTGAATTCCAAGAAAAAAGGTTTCCAGAGTTTAAACAGAAATCTCGAAGATTAGCAGTAAGACACTTGGGTTAATAATGCATGAGAGCACAATGTTTCCTTGTAAGTAGAATCTTTTTAAAGTGAGTACCTTTAGAGAAACCACGTTACCTATTATGACCTATCTGCAAGATGCAAAATTTAAGTGGCCTTATAATTGAAATTTATTTTACGTACACTAGAAGCAAGAAGTATTTTGCATTCCTTTCTTACTCTTATTATCTGGGTGCTGGTTTGCTATAATAAAGTGATTTAAGTTTAAGTGGGCTTCCTTTAATTAGTCAGAATTTTATACTTATACTTGTCTAGAGGTAAGATGAATTTAAAGGTAATTATTACTAGTAGAAGAAAAGGAAACATAAAAAGCTCAAATACAGTTTAGCTTTGTTCTTTTTAGTGCATTCCAATATAATTACCTTTGTCATTTTAGAGACAAAGATACTCAGAAAAGCATTATTATCAACCAATCTACCAATCACTGATTTTATGGTCATCTATAGTGAGCATAGCTGTTATCAAGAATACATCTTGGAAATTATTTTCATCACACAGTAATAATCATTGCTAAGTTGCTTATCCAAAAATCTATATGACAATCTAATCTCATTTTTCTAAAACACAGCAAAGAATCAAGAAGTAAACAACAACAAAAAAAGTCTCAGAAGATCTAAATAGAGGTCACAAAGTTCATGTACTAACACTTCACAGAACATCCCACAAAGATTTATGAACCATAATGTTAAAACAACCTTGGTTCAACTCTTTTATTTCCCAACTTAGTAGCTCAGTGATTTTTTGACCAAATTGTATAATCTCTCACTTTTTTCCTCATCTATGAAATGGGATTATACTTGTCACCTCTTGGGATTATTGTGAGACTTATATAGTTGATGTTATACTTAGATATTATTTTAAAATAGTAATTTATATTATCATTCCAACAATGTGACTATTACTCCTTCTCTTTGACCTTTATTCCTGAAGCCAGCTTTAATGTTTGAAATAACAGTCTGGCATTAAGGGAAGACAGAAAAAAACGAGGGTAATAAAACAGAAATGAGAACCATAGAAACAACACTGTGAAGTTATGATTTCTAGATGAAAATAGCCCGTAGTACCATTGTGAACTACCATGACTGTATTATATTATCTGCTAAATAGATTATACTAATGATAGCTATAAATGATCAAAAATGCCAGTATCGCCACATTTTAAAAAAATTTTTCATATCTTTATTTATTTATTTTTTAATGTGGTGCTGAGAATCAAACCCAGGGCCTCGAACACACTAGGCAAGCAAGCGCTCTACCACTGAGCCACAACCCCAGCCCGGCCAGTGTCACCATATTTTTGCAGGAAGTAATAATGAATAATTCAGTTTTGAATCATCAACCTATAAAAATAAAAATAATTTGTGTGCTTAAAAGGATAAAATTTTACCCATATGGAAATTTCAGCCTTCTCTAGGGATTCTGCATTGATTAGTTTTCAGTAATATAAAGAAGATTATAGCAAAATTTTCACATAAGGATAATTAATTTTTTAAAAAATCACTGATATCAACTGCCTACTTCCTCCATGCTACTCACCCCTCATGAACTCCCTATGATAAGAGTTCGAATCAGAATATTGAGGAAGTATAATTTGATAATATTTTTAGCTTATTGTTTTAATTCTGTTCTAGCCATGGTATTTTATTTACTTAGATGTTTCAAAAGTTCCTTTGAGGGCTGGGGTTGTGGCTCAGTGGTAGAGCGCTTGCCTAGCACATGCAAGGCCCTAGGTTCAATCCTCAGCACCACATAAAAATAAATAAATAAAATAAATGTATTGTGTCAAACTACAACTAAAAAATAAATATTTTAAGAAAAAACTCATTTGATAGAAAGGAGGTTTATATATACTGGTGAATATAATTTTTAAAAGGATAAGAAATGTTCACCTTCAACAATCAGCAGTTAGACATATCAGGCTGTATTCTGATAAAAAGAATGATTGTTGTAAATATCCAGCAAAAATGGTATAGATATTGTTGACTACAACGGTGGGGAAATAGATGCTTTGGTGTTTGAAATATATTTCTATGGACTGTCAAGAAGAAAAGAATGTGAATTTCAGAAAACCAAGAAGTTTGGTTATTTGAAAACAAAAGATGCTAAAAAAATGTATTTAAATAGTACTGAAATACTTCAGAGTATATAGATTTACAAGTAAGTCAACAGAAAAGTATTTTTACATGATAAGTGATATGTATGGGTAGTCACATAACAGAAAAACTGAGCACTTAATTTACTGTCATGTTATTTAGCAATCACTAACAAGTATAAATCTTTTTTACTCTAGCCTGCCAACAACATTTGCAACTTTGGATATTGATGGTGTAAGAAAAATTATTTTTGCACTACCAGGTAAGAATCATTGAAATTATTCTCTGTTTTTTTCTGAAAAAATAACCAAAACGGTTTTGGACTTCTCATTTGACGAGTCCCCAATCAGATCACTCAAAGTGGAATCTAAAAGTCCTAGATTCAAGTCTCAGCTTTACTAACTAAAAATTGCTTACCTTCTCTGAGGCTGTTTGTGTATAAAATGAAACTAACGTCCACATCACAGGATGGTATGAAAATCTAACTAGAGAGTATCTTCCAAAGCACATTCCAGACCCTAAGATGATAATCAAGTATTAGCTATCACTAAATCTTTTCAAGGCACCTGCCTTTTACAGAACATTTGTCAAAATTAACAGTTGAATCACCTCTCACAACTATAAGCATTTTGCTTAATTCACTTGTGCAAATACTAAATTAAGAAATACAAAGCCAGGGCTGGGGTTATCACTCAGTCATAGAGCACTTGCCTAGCATGCAGGAGAAAAATAAACAAATAAAAATAAAACAGCCTCTGGCCCTTGCCAGATTTGGGGTGGTTTGGAAAGAGGAGGAAAGGGAAAGAGAGGAGGGACTACTGATACTGTGACATCTCAGCCAGATCCCTCACATTTTCAGTCTGACAACATTACCATCACCACTCTTACTCCCATGTGAGTAGAACCTCACAAGTTCAGATTGTAGAAAAAGAAAAGTGATTCAGCTTACATGCACTTTCAAAATCAATTTTTTTAAGTATTTTTTTCACCATATATCTATGGCAAGAAACTCCATAGGGCCTTTAATGTTCCCTTGACTTCTCTGAAAAACCACTAGATAAAAGAAATGGATTTCTCCTCCAAGTTTCATTTTGCCTTGAAGAGACTATTTACTTTGTCTACAGAAGTCTTGACTTAATCTACAGAGCATCAGTGGTAGTATAATAACGTTATTTTGGGAAACATTTTTATCATTACTAATAAAAGTGTTGATGATCTGCCAAATAAATAAATAAACCTTATCTTCAAATTGCTACTTAAATTTTCTCTGCTTAACCGGAATGAACCAAAAGAGGGCAGCAGCAACACAAATGTTTGGATTCCAGAAACAGCAAAGTTGTTCAGTTTACAAACAAGACTTTGCAAAATTTTTTTTTTTTTTTTTTTTTTTTTTTTTTTTACAGGGCTGGAGATAGAACTCTGGGCCTCATGCATGCTAGGCAAGCACTCTACCACTAAGCTATACATATAGCCCCCCTGAGGATTTTCAATTTCTAAAGTATACTTCTACTTTCCTTGAGGACATATATTTAAAGATCACTAATCTTAACAATTTAAAAGTTTTGCATATTTTTTAAATATTTTTCTTTAGTTGTAGATGGACACAATGACTTTATTTTATTTATTTATTTTTATGTGGTCCTGAGATCGAACACAGTGCTTCACACGAACTAGGTACGCACTCTACCACTGAGCCATAATTCCAGCCCTAAAAGTTTTGCACATTTACTTACTTATTTTTTTAGTTGTTGGACACAATACCTTTATTTTTATGTGTTGCTGAGGATCGAACCCGGTGCCTCACATGTGCAAGGCACACACTCTACTCCTGAGCCACAACCCTAGCCCCCTATTTTTTAACTTCTTAAAATTATTTAGTAACACATATTCCCTACCAAAAAAAAATAGAAAATACAGATAAGCAAAGAAATGTTATTCATAATCCCCATCCACCCAGAAATAACCATTATTTACAACTTTTTATTCTTTTTCCTTCTAGTTCTTTTTCTTATAAAGAGCAATTACTTTCTTAACAGTAATTGTATATAAAGTAGTATTGTGGGAATTTTACAATCATTGGTGATGTATTTTTGAGGCAATTGGTAAAGTAATGTATTCTCCTTAAAAATCTGCTTTTCTAGCCATGTGTAGTGATGCATACCTATAGTCTTAGCTACTGCTAAGGCTGAGGGGAAGGATTGTAGTTTGAAGACAATTTGGGCAAGTTAGCAAGATCCTGTTTCAAATTTAAAAGGGGGTTGGAGATGTAGCTCAGTGGTGGAGTGCTTACGTAGTGTGTATGAAACGTTGGGTTCACCATCCTCTTCCCAGGTTCTGTTCTGTTGGGCAACTCATTTTTTCTTTGATATTAGTATCCCTCATCACTTTCTGCTACTTAAAAATAAGTCCTTTTTAACCAATTTTTGTAAGTAAAAGATAATTGAAGTTATGATTTTATATAATAACAGGCTAAATTGATGTCATTTTTTAAATTTAAAGTCATTTCTAGGTAGAGATGATTACAGGTAAATTTCCTTATGCTTATCTATATTTTTTAATTTTTTGGTACCAAGCTTATGTTACTACAGTAGTTTTTCATATTTAAGTCATATTTACAAAACACTGTTAGTATAGTAATTTTAAAATCTTAAAGGTTTATTTTAACTGCTTTAAATTTACCAAGATTAAGGGGCTGCCGCTCAATAGTAGAGCATGTGCTTCACATACACAAAGTCTTGGGTTCAATCCCCAGCACAAAAAAAAAAAAAAAGAATTATCAAGATTAGTAAGTAGTAATGGCCTTCAATTCATGGCTTTCAGGAAAGTAGAAATAAGTAGTGTCAAAGAGCTTCTGGGTATCAGAATTCTTCATTTTACTGGAAGACCCAAATGTTTATACCTTCCATGACATTTGGTTGACTATACCTTTATTTGGTCATCCTGTTGGGTTCTAAGTGTTTCAGAAGAGGAAGTCAGTGGTTAGTCACTTGTCATATTCAGTGATGACTAAAGATATAGTAAGATGTCATTATTTGGCAAAATTTTATGGTAGGTACTATAAATAACTGTTTGGTTGACTTTCAGGGAATCCTGTATCAGCCGTGGTCACCTGTAATCTCTTTGTTGTGCCTGCACTGAGAAAGATGCAAGGCATCTTGGATCCTCGGCCAACCATCATCAAAGCCAGGGTAATGTCTTCTAATGATCAGAAACCAACATGGAAGTCTGATGACCAGTTAAGAATAGGGTTTTCTAACTGCTCAGAATAAGCATCTAGGATTTTATAGTAATCTTGTAGGCAAATGTAATATTCACCCCTTCAAGTTAGAAAATGGAGAAGAAAGGGTTGCATTTATTACCCTCCTACATGGCTTCTGAAGTGAATTATTTTCTTCAGCTAGACGTCCATAAAGGGAGTCCAGAGAGAAAGACTTAAAACTTTTGAGTGGATACTTAAGAACAAGACAAGCAATACAATACAGCTAACACAGCCCTAACACTAGACCTGTATGGAATGAGAGATAAGAATTCTTTTTCTAATATAAACCACAGAGAATGGCAGTTAATCTACTTTTTCAGTGATGTCATTGATAAATTTCAAACAGTTCAGAAAAAAAAAATCAAAGAGGGGCTGGGGTTGTAGCTCAGTGGTAGAGCACTTGCCTAGCATATGTGAGGCACTGGGTTCAATCCTCAGCACCACATAAAAATAAATAAATAGGCCAGGCACAGTGGTGCACTCTTGTGATCCCAGCAATTTGGGAGGCTGAGGCAGAAGGATTGTGAGTTCAGAACCAGCCTCAGCAAAAGCGAAGCACTAAGCAACTCAGTGAGACCCTGTCTCTAAATAAAATATGAAATAGGGCTGGTGATGTGGCTCAGTGGTCAAGTGCTCCTGAGTTCAATACCTGGTAAATAAATAAATAAGTAGGTATTTTGTCCAGCAAAACCTAAAAATGTCTTTAAATTAAAAAAAAAATAAAAAACAATCATAAAACTAAAAAGAGATCCTAGTGCTTCAAGAGGAAAAGGTGATGATATTGTTTAGAAAAGGACTATTAAAACTGAGGAAGTATAGTACAAGTTACTTGGAAATTAGAGTCTTTCTCCAGCAACACCACTCAATTTAACTTACTACTCAACTAATTGTACACTTTCTACATTACTGATGAACAACTTTCTTAGCAATTTAAACTATAGTTCCAAAACATTACTTTTCAAGAGTTCTGAAATAACTGGGTATACTGGTGCACACCAAGGTGCTGTAATCCCAGAAACTTGGGAGGCTGAGCTAGGAGGATTGCAAGTTCAAGACCAGCCTCAGCAACTTAAGAGACCCTAAAGCAACTCAGCAAGACCCTGTTTCAAAATTAACATTTGATTAAAAAAGGGTTAGGGATGTGACTCAGTGGTAAATTGCCCCTGGGTTAAATGTCCAGTACCCCCAAAAAATTTTGAAATAACTTCAGATATGACAGAGTGTTATGATTAGCTGAAAGAACATAAAGCATATAAGAGGAAGAGGAAATAAAATATTACTCTAATAATACATAGGACAAAACACTAAGAAAATTTAGGCTTTAGATATTCTTATAATTGACTTTCTAAATACTGAGATTTTGTGGACAGATAGATAGAAAAATCTCTTTTCCTTAAAATTTCATTAAAGAATCAGCTGGATTTTTTTATAATCATGTGAAGTATTGGTCTTATTTGAAATTAAGCAGCAGAAGAAAAAAAGCCATCATTGAACAAAAAGTATTCCAATCAAGTCAAAAAGACAGAGTCCTAAAGCTTAGATTTAGACATCCAAACTGGTAATAATGAATTCACTATTTTCATATTTGCAACACTAAGAAAATAAGAAAAAATCTATATTGATATAAGAAAGAGAGAAAAGCAGCTTAAGATGGCTTCTCTTTGACTCTGCAAAACTCTTTTGAATCCTTTCATTTATTTCTTATTTTAACCTCCACCATCTCCTCCTTAAAGCCTACATATGGCAGCCATTCATTCTGACAGCAATGATGAGTTTGTGTTCTATAATCAAACTGATGCTTGATATATTGTTCACATGATGCACATTTCCTGTCAATTCAGGGAACTGAGAACTGGTTCAAGAATTAGATGCAATGGAGCCTGCTGGCCATAGTCACAGCAACAAAAAGCTGACTAACTCACTGCATTATTTTCAAAATGTCAGCACAGAAAAAGTCATTCTTTTATATCAAAGCATTAAGAAGAACAACAGTTTAAAATAAATATTCCCCTTATGGTTTGGAATTGAAATACTTCTGATTTTCACTCCATTGTAAGAAACAGAATCCTAGAAATTTATCAAATAGAATTATTGACCCAATCCTTCCACACAAGGACATCCTATCATGTGTTTCCTTAATATCCCATCAAAGTACCCTATACTGCCCTTGTTCTCAACATTTTCCCCACTAAAAATGTACCTGAAGTAGCTCCCATTAGTATTAACAACTCACCTCAGGCAGTGATTGAGAAATTAAAAAGGGGAAAATACCTTCATCTCCCACGGGGCTGGTCAGTCTGGGGAGAGTATGAGTATGTTGGATATCCACCAGACTTCTGATGTGTCCACCTTTTCATTTCATTGAGCGTTGCTGAACCGCACACTATAAGAACTTGATGGTTGCTCCTGAGTGTGTTATAAGCAGTGAAATACAGAGCATTTCAACAAATGTTCCTATTTTTTGAAAACTGCTGAGGTATTTGCATTTGTAGAGGGAAATATGGTTGTTTATTGTGGTAAGATCAATGATTGATCATTAAAAGATATTATGAAATGCCTGTTACATGAGAATATTATGGCCTGTAGATTTAAAAAAATAAATATTTAAAACAACAGAACTTCACATTACTTAGAAGCAATGTACTTTAACTTATTAGGAAATGAGAACTATAACTAGGCTATGGAAACTTTGGAAACAGGAACTTGAAACTGATCCGTACCAGCAAATGCAAGGATTTTGAAGCTTCTTGACAAGTTTTAGATAAATGATTTACAAGGAAAATATGCTCAAAGCCCTCTCAGGTAGAATAATGGAAATAGCACCTCATAACTTATATAGCACTCATCAAAAAAGTTAGTGTGATAAAGCTCATTTAACCATTCTTTGGAAGCTTCAACCAAACCCCAGCTAAGGTGAGGACTCCGGCAACACCCAGTGTCACCTTTGTCATCCTGGGCCTCTATCTCAAATAGAATCCACTTTAGATACCTATTTTCTCACAAACTCTCTCCTCCACACTGTGCAGCTCTTAGTACCAACTGTTCCCCTGAATCCCCTGGTACATTCAGCTCCCCATTGTTACCATCAAACCTTCCAGACACCATTCTCCACAGACTTTCAGATCTGGAAATTGCTTACATCTTCCTCTTTACCTTGTCTCCGACCGTTAGATGCTTTACCTCCATTATACCTTTATTTCTGCTTCAGCAACTCACATGCTCACCCTTTTCATATTCTGAATGGCTCCATCTCAAAAATTGACGGTTTTGGTAGACCATTTAGGAATAATAGCAAATTACTTAGCAGTAGATGGAAAATCTAGCATAAATATTCACTCCTACAACTCTTCCCCTTTTCCCTCAGTCTGTAAACCCCTCTGGCTCACAGCTTTCTTTATCCAGCCCAAATCCTGGGATGTGTGATACAACACCCCACACAACATTTTCTAAAACACTCAACCTTTTATTTTTTTTTTTTTTGCCTCTTCTTCTTTCTATAACTCACTCTAAGAATTGACAAACTTGGTTCAATTCTCCCCTCTTTTATTTATTTATTTATTCTAATCAGTTACATGTGACAGCAGAATGCTCTTCAATTCATTGTACACAAATGGAGCACAGTTTTTCACTTCTCTGGTTGTATACAAAGTAGGGTCACATGATTTGTGCAATCATACATGTACCTAGGGTAATGATATCCATCTCATTCCACCATCTTTCCTATCCCCATGTCCCCTCCCCTGCACTCCCCACCTTTGGCCAATCCAGAGTTCCTCCATTCGTCCCATACCCTCCCCACATTATGGATTAGCATCCACTTATCAGAGAAAACATTCAGCCTTTGGATTTTGGCGATTGGCTTACTTGGCTTAGCATGATATTCTCTAACTCCAGCCATTTACCTGCAAGTGCCATAATTTCATTCTTCTTTAAGGCTGAGTAATATTCCATTGTGTATATATACCACATTTTATTTATCCATTCATCTGTTGACAAACAGCTAGGTTGGTTCCATAGCTTGGCTATTAAGAATTGAGCTGCTATAAAGATTAATGTGGGGTAAAGATTTGCTCTCATTATGTAGGCTCTCTATTTACCTCACTGACTATTTCTTTTGCTGAGAAGAAACTTCTTAGTTTGAGTCCATCTCATTTATTGATTCTTGATTTTAATTCTTCAGCCAAAGGACTCTTATTAAGGAAGTTGGGGCCTAATCGCACAAGACAGAGATTAAGATCTACTTTTTCTTCAATTAGACTCAGGGTCTCTGGTTTTATTCCTAGGTCCTTGATCCATTTTGAGTTGAGTTTTGTGCATCGTGAGAGATAGGGTTTTAATTTCATTTTGTTACATATGGATTTCCAGTTTTCCCAGCACCATTTGTTAAAGAGGCTATCTTTTCTCCAATGCATGTTCTTAGCACCTTGGTTTAATATAAGATAGTTGCAGTTTTGTGGGTTAGTCTCTGTGTCCTCTGTTCTGTACCATTGGTCTACCAGTCTGTTTTGGTGCCAGTACCATGCTGTTTTTGTTACTATTGCTCTGTAGTATAGTTTAAGGTCTGGTATAGTGATGCCACCTGCTTCACTCTTCCTGCTAAGGATTGCTTTAGCTATTCTGGGTCTCTTATTTTTCCAGAATAGCTAAAGCTATCCTTAGCAGGAATTAGTTTCATGATTGCTTTTTCTATTTCTATGAGGAATGTCATTGAGATTCTGATCAGAATTGCATTAAATCCATATAGTGCTTTTGGTAGTGTGGTCATTTGGGAATATTAATTTTACCTATCCCAGTAGGCCCTAATCTCCTTCATGTGGGATTAGGTCCCAACTTAATAAGACTCCTTTGGCACAAAAATTACAATCAAGAATCAATAAATGGGATGGACTCAAACTAAAAAGTTTCTTCTCAGCAAAAGAAACAATCTGT